GGTCCAATGTTATTTTTGGAATTCAAACAGTCTGGTCCAAATTAATTGACGGGATTGAATGTTGAACTTTTTAATGTTCTTATTGCTCGACGTTGGACCTGCTCCTAGCGCCTGGTCTGTCGAGTCAGCCTCGAGGTTGGACCGAAAAGGGTTAATGAAATTGAGAGGGTACTGACATCTGGACACATTCTAATAACTTTTTACAATACTATTCCCCGAGCACGCAAGCCGTAAAGCACAGCATTCCTGTTCACTGACGTCCTCTCACTAAAATTCTCCCCCTCTCTGTACCTTTTAGCTTTACTTATCAACTCTGCGCATGACTCAAGTTTCAGGAATAGCAGAGAAAGCGACCTTCGTGGTAGAAATGCTAGAATTCATCACATGGGTAAGTCTCCCCAGGGTGCCATTTTAGCCTGGAAGAATGGTGGAACCACCAACAAAAGCAGAGGCTGCTAAAAATAAGCTGATTGCACAGCAGCACAATCTACACTCATGAAAAAGTTGTCATTTTTAATAAACATCTGTTTCGTGAGAACGCTTTTGATAAAGCAGTTCTAGTACGCCACTAACTTCACTGGGTACTCGGATTTAAATAACTGAAATATTCCTACCAGCAAAAAAGCCAGCTCCACTCATCTACTTCTTATGGGCCAAGGACTGGTCTCTGAAGAGCAGAAGCCCGTATTTGACTGACGTGTGTGGAATGCTCCCCCCACGCTCTGTCCTGTGCTGCCCACAGGGACCCAGCAGAGGAGGCCCCCCCCAACCAGGGAGCCTTACAACACAGATATAAACTGGCCCTCGGTTTTCATTAAAATGTATGGACCAGCAACAAGACGACTGATTGTAAAGCAGTCTAAAAAGTAATTAGTAATGTCGGAGGACATGTGTGATGTTCAAAAAAAGGCTTTAAAAATATTCCACAGGTGCTTAAACATTAACATTGTGTATGTGACTTGATAAGGATCATTTGACAGACAATTCTCATCTGCAGAGACACAGATGGCTCTTCCTCCTACATACAGCCAGAGCATTCCTATGCTGGATTCGCAGTACAAAGCAGAATCTTACTTTTAGCAAATATGTCAACTGGTGATCCGTCAGGCAAGAGCCATGGCCACCCTTTGAACTGCCACGCAGGACCCTGCACAAAAACGGCCACGACCCGGTCCCTGTAAACAGAAGAGGGGGGAGAGTCAGAGAACAGGCGGACACGAGCTGTCGTTGCTGTGCGTCTACAAGGCTCACAGCACACGGCCACCGCCTTTCACTGTAATACGTCCGCCCCTACTGGTACCCTGCCTGGGTCCTGCACCCAAGTCTCCTACATATAATTAATTACATGCACAACCTTAGGTGATCTTTTAGCCTTTTATCTCGGCCCTTCTAGTAAGGACAGAAAGGGCCACTTTTCCAATGCAGCAGGAAACAGTAGCTGATCTATTAATCAAAAAAGCTGGTTTTAAAAGAAAATCATTTAACATTCAAACAAACGTTATTCACTTTAATTAAAAACACCAGACATGATAGTAATTCACCAACCATTTCATAAAGCTCCAAGGCCTTATTTTTAAATTCTGATTATGTGAAAGTAACCTCAGTACAGAAACCAGCTAGACTTTTCTTACACTTTGCAATTGTTTTAAAACTGTTTCACTCACCACATTCTGTAAGTTTTCCTTAAAGCAACTTGTTCTACCAACCATTTAAGTTTCTTTTCCCAAAAAAAGAACAAATCTCTTTCTAGGCCCTCACATTCCATTACTTTAAAAAGTAATTAGCCCAGCTGGCATGGCTCAGTGGTTAAGCATCGACTTATGAACTAGGAGGTCACAGTTTGATTCCCGGTCAGGGAACATGCCCTGGGTTGTGGGCTCAAGCCCCAGAAGCTGATCAATAAGTCTCTCTCATCATTGATGCTTCTTTCTCTCTCTCTCCCTCCACCCGTCTTTAAAACCAATAAAAATATATTTAAAAATAAAAAACAATGTAATTAAATTGAGAAGTTATAATAAATACAACTGCCATAAACCATTTAAGCCCACCACTAAGAGGCGGGAACAAAACCCTAACGTTCACATTGGTGAGGTTTCCTCGTGCCTGCACCCTGTGCAGTGCTGGTCACGGCAGCTGACACGTGACTTACGTTAACTCACTGCATCTTCTAAACAGCCCCGAGGTGAGTGCCACCATCCTTGCCCATTTAGGGAGGAGGAAACACAAGTGTGTGGGCAGGCCAGCAGCAGGGGGAGGGAGAGGGGGAGGGAGGAGGAGCGGGGGAGAGATGATTAATCTGTATACTGAGTGTGCTCCTGTCCCCGGGTGAGGACTGATAAGTCATGAGAACGGCATTCAGAGTCATCACGTGACCTCACGCCTCCTGGAAAGGGTCCTGGGGATGCCCTGAGGCCCACAGACAACTCTATGTCCACAGAAAAACAGCAAACTTTCTATTCAAGTAAGAAACCGACAAGAAGGATCCGCTATTGTGAAAAACCACAGGTAACAATTCCTAACCTGCTCCAAACCTCCACGACTGAAATTATATCTCAAATGGAAAATGCCCGCTCTCAAGGGGCCTGAGCTGCACAGGCCACACCCACCCGCTAACGGAGCACCACACACGGCCCTTGCTCTGACCAGGAGACGTGCCCCTGCAGCAGCTGGGAGCTCGGGCGCCTGCCACCTCAGGGGAGTCTGCTGGCCAGAGCCCCCGACCCCTGCCAGGTCCCCCTGGGCAGCAGGACAAGAGAAAGACTCGTCCCGGGGAACTCCTGGAAGGACAGGTAAGAGGGGGAAGGGATGCTATTTCTAGGCTATGGCGCCAATGGCGAGGAACCCAGTGAATAGTCACACGCGGGAGGCGTTCTGTGACGCAGACATGGCACCTGTGCACGCTGCTGGGTTCCCTCCCTGCAATAGCTCCAAACATATATGCAGGTTGTCCCCCCCCCCCCCCCAGGGGGAGTGGCAGGATGAGGCCTCCTGCAGAGCAGGGGGGGCGGGGGCAGTGCCCTGAGCCACCCCCTCAGGGTCTGCTCCCTGATCTGCTGCCTCAGGCCTCATTCCTCCTCAGGTCCTGTGAGAACCCAGCAGAGGCTGCAGAAGGCCTGGCTGGGCTTGAGAGGAGGGGGCTCTCCAGGAAGGTCCAGAACATTGGGGACGGGGACCCCCAGTGGCCTGGTTAGTGGCCAAGGGAAGTCTGCAGGGAGGAGACAGTGGGGAGCCAGGGCAGCCAGACACAGGCAGGGGCAGTCTCCCTGCCTCCAGCCCCCCTGGTCAGCAAGGGGCTGGGAGCTGAGTGTCCCAGAGGAAGGGCCTGCCCCAGGGTGGCCTTAGGGGTCTGAGTTCTCCATGACATGTGTGCCCTGAAAAGTGAAAGCCCAGAGCTTGGTGCCTCAGGGGCTGTTTCTGGGGCGCACAGATATTCTCGAGGCTCCCGTCACCTCCCAGAGGCTGTTCTGACCAGCACTTGTCAGAAAATATTTCGACTTCTTACTTGTATGGTAATGTGGAGATTGCATGTTCTGTTGGGCTCAGTCAGATGGTTCAATGTTCTTCGTGTTCTCCTTTGCCACTGTCTATGGAGTCTTTGGTGTTATTCTGACTGATTTGTGGGGTTTCCTATGTCATGGGTATCAGTGCTTGTGTTTACCTTGCAAGGGTCTGTTTCCAGGGTGTCAGGAAACATGAAACCTTTATTTTTATATTTTTATTAATCTCAGAGAAGAAGGGAAAGGGAGAGAGAGATAAAAACATCAATGAAGAAAGAGAATCATTGATGGGCTGCCTCCTGCTCGCCCCTTACTGGGGATCAAGCCCACAACCCAGGCATGTGCCCTGACAGGGAATCGAATCCTGAACTTCTGGTTTACTGGCCAACACTCAACCACTGAGCCACACCAGCCGTGCACTGGACTAGATTAATGATGACCAAATTAGGCATTAGCAACGGCTTCACAAACAGGTTCTATTTATACCTCGTGATAAAATCCACGATCCCAGGAATGACGGGCCAGGTAGGAAATACAGATATCTCACCAGTCCTGAGGCATGAGTTTCAGGGGCTGGTCTACGACTCTGTAGGGAACCGTGACGCTGAGCGCGGTGCCCCCCGGCTGCATCTGATCTTTCCTTCTCTGTATCAGCGTCTCGTTTTCTCGCTGGCAGCCCTGTTTCTTCTTCTCGTCTGATGGGACAAATCTTTGAAAACACAAAGAAGAGAAAAGGCCAAAAGGTTCAATGTGATAAAAATGAAAAATAAATAAAGAAGTCCTATTTTGAAATGATTTTTTAAATACTGAGCTTTAAATCAAAAACATTGGTTTTGAAAATACACCTGTTCTGCATGTCCAGGTGATGTATGTCGAGTGGAGCGAAAGCTCGCTTCAGCCCCAAGTCAACATGGGTGTGCCTCTCACACACACAATTTATGTTCACCACACTCAGCATTCTCCCAGGCTACACAGAAAACCGCACTCATCCTGATTTCTCACGCGCCATTAGGGAGATTTAATTGTAAACAGAAAGGTGGCTTCAACTGAAGGTGACGTGGCTGGCGAGGCTGCCTCCCGAACAGGTGACTTAGCCCAGCCAAGAACTTCACAAAACGCCCCGTCACGGTGTATGCCTCCGCAAAATCAGGGAACTGCCATCCAGTTTCAGGGCTGCTTTTGCAAATTTTAAAGAAAGAAAATTCAATCTGTGTATGCCCATTGCCTGTTTTGGTAAATACTGCTGCAACTTACCGGAGTAAAGGAGCCAATCTGTGTAGGTCAATTCTCTACTGTACCATCAACCCTATTCTCACAAGTACTGCGGCCATCTGCAGAGCTGCTGCCAGCTCTAGGCTTGGTAGTGACCACAAAGCGCTTCACAACAATCTTTTAAAAAATATACACACATCTCCTAACCGTCTATGGGCACGTTTTCCTCGCTCTGGTGCGCCCTGCCACTCTATGGGGTGATGCCATCAGCGCGCTCAGTGTGGGTCCTTCTGCTTCTGAAGTTCAGGGAGACACGGGGGAGGGGACACACGAGAATTTGCACTTGCTAGAATCCTTTGAAAATGTTAACCCCGCACACTGGCTTCGCCATCCAGCGATGCTAATGTTGTAACCTGAGGCTGTCGGTATGGTACGTGGTGACTGTGACAGTGCTGAACTGCCCTTGTAAGCTGGCTGTTCCACATCACGTCACATCTGCTGGGAAAGTCAAGAATGCCGCGTCATCTAAAACTGTCGCCCAGATAATCACTTTACTGCCTATGGATTCCTTTAGGAAACTACATTTTCCTACCTATGGGTACATTTATTCATGTACAGACAAATATGGGAGTGAGGTTACTGCACCGGCAGGAAAGCAGTGAGCCCAGAGAAGTTAAAACAGTGCCGATTCTCTCCAGGGAAGGTGCTGGTAAATAGTCAGACTCAAGCTCTGCTTTCTACTGCACGTCCCCGGTTCCTGGAATAGGGAACAAAGCCCAGCTTCTGCGGGCAGGGCACCTCACAGAAGTCTCTCCCCCAGAAAGCCAGCGCGCTCAGGAGGGCAGCCTGACATTAGGGTAAACCAGCAATATATCATGTGTATATTGTAATGTGTGTTCACACCCCGAGTCAAGTCTCCTTCCGTCTCTGTTTACCGCCCCCGTCGTAACCAACAGCATGGCCATTGCCAGGAGAGGCCATCTCACTATTGCCCACTAGACCCCTCCTGGACCTGAATCAAGAGTAACAGCCCCGAGCACAGTGAAGGCTCAGAATAAACGTTCTCCCAGCCCCGCCTGCAAGACCTAACCCGGGGTTTGGGGGAATTACTGGGAAACGCACTGTCTTTGCACAGTGATTGCTGGCCTCAAGCTTCTGCTAATCATGTGTCCCTGAGGGGGAGAGCTGCCTGAGAGAGGGACCAGCTCCTGATGACATCACTCCAGCGCTGAGCCAGCTGTGCCCAGAGCCACACTTTCAGTGATGTTGCACCAATAAATTAATCTTTGATAACGCTACTTTGAGTTGATTTTTACCGCTTACAACTAAAAGCATTCTAACGAATACAACCAGAACCGCACAACCAAGGCGGTGGATGGATATACATCATTTGGAGAAATACTTTGATGTCCATTGATTCACCCATTTCGTGCTGTCAAGTATCGACAAGTAATATTGTCAAAGAATGAAATGCACCTGCAGAGGATTATGCTCCGTGAGGTAAGGCAGGCAGAGAAAGACTGGTGCCATATGAGCCCGCTTACAGGGGGGAGCTAATGAACAAACTGAACTAACAAAGTGGAGACAGACTGACAGCAGTCAGAGGGGACAGGGTTGGGGGTTGGGGGCTGGGTGAGAAGGGTGAAGGGATTAAAGAAAAAACAGAAAGACAGACTCATGGACACAGACAACAGTATGGGGATTGCCAGAGGAGGTAGGGTGAGGGGAGGTAGAGGCGTAAACAGTGATGGAAGGAGACTTGACTTGGGGTGTGAACACACAATACAATATACACATGATATATTATAGCATGAAACCAATACATTTTTAGCCAATGTCACCCCAATAAACTCAACAACAAAAACAAAGAATATAATGCAAATGAGATATAGCTAGGTAAGTTAGGCTATTTTTCCTTTTTCTTAAATAACAAAAGTTGAAATTTTAAAAAATGCAATAAACGAATGTCTGGATGTTAAGCCCCTCACCCTGAGCGCAAAGTGGTGCCTCGCAGACACCAGGTGCAAACCCTCCCCAGGGGGCCCAACCTTCCTCCCTAAGTCAGAGAATCTCCAGAAAAACAATTCCAAGGAAATGAGCAAGTGAAAACAATGAAAAACATTAAACAAACCCTAAAAAACACACAAGGAAATGAGGTGTCATGAATGAAACAACCGTCAAAAGACAATGAAGGACTTCCTTGATGCACTGACCAAAGATCATTGCTTAATTTTTAAAAAATGAAAAAAAAAATGTATCGATGTTTCTATTTCTCCCTCTTCTTTCCTCTCTCTAAAATGAATAAAACATTTTTGAAAAGAGAAAGAGACATGGAAAATGAGAGGTCTGAAGTATATCTCACTTAAGTCCCAGAAGGAAGAGAACAAAACAGGGGAAAGGCAATATCTAAGAAGAACCAGAACCGATGACAATCCTCCGATTTAAGTCTAATGACTCCCAGAGTGGGATATAAAGAAATCTACAGCGAGGGATAGCAGATGAACAACTGTAAAATGATCTTTAAAACCACCAGATAAAGCCGCCTTCCTTCGAGGACTAACAGCTGACTTGCCGTCATCAACAGTGGAAGCTGGAGGCAGTGGGATGTCTTCCCGGGAAAGAGAAACAAGAACCTCCGGGCCGGCTCCACAGCGGCTGAGTCATGCTGCAGTGCTGCTGGGCCTGGACCCCTCCACCTTTCTGCCTGGTTTCTTCCCCTACAACCCACGTGCTGAGCCAGGCGAGCCCCCTGGGGCCCCTCCCCCAGCCATCGCTCCTCTCTGGAACTCTGCCCTGAGAAGCTACATCTCAGCCAGAATCGTGAATGCCTTCCAATCAGATTATTTTGAACACAGTTACAGTCCCACCCAAGCATCTCTCAAAATCATGATCAATGTACAATGTGCTTTTTAATTACTTCCATTTACAGCATTAATTTTGTTATTTAGGGTATTAAAGTTATGGTGGATTTTACTTTGTTTTGTCTCTTTTACTTACTGCAGGGCTAAAAATTGAAGAATCCATGCCAACATGAGCTATGGGTTACAGCCAGTCCTGTAATTGTGTGGAGGAGGTTTCAATTATGCATTAATTACACAGCCAAGCCTCCAGCTGACTCACGCTGTAGGGGATATGTCAGCTGCAATGAGGTGTTAAACAATGAAGGGAGTGTTCCAAACTTGGGAGGACCATTAGGCCTGGTCAGCCCTGAGAATGTGGCTGTTGGACTGTTGGCTTCTTTGCAACACGACGAAGGAGAAAGATACTAAAATTCACTGTGTGGTTTTCTTTGCACTATTCGCTGCCTTCTATTATAAAATAATATGTAAGTATTAGATCTGTAATATATGCAGAGAGGCACCACAAAGACTCAGAAAATGAAAAATTAAAGGCAGAATTTCCTTTGTAACATTTCAAAAACTTACTGTAAATTTTCTGTAACCATGCAGACACATTTATAAAAGTACAGTTGTCAATTACTAAAAATTATGAGAACCGTCAATACCAAATTCACAAATCATAAAAACGCAAGAGCTAGAAAAGAGTGTAAAGATCCAAACACAGTAAGTGCAAAAAGCCCAACCCCAAGTATGACGACACTTGCTGGGAACTGAAATCCAGGCACAGGTGCAGATATGACTGCCAGGTATGGAGAAGGAGCTTAAACCCAGAGATGAGTCCGCTAATAAATTCACAGCGAGCACACGCTCAGAGGCAGAGTCTACCGCTCTCCCATGTTCTCAATGCGTCTCCCCTCCTTCCTTAACACTTACTCAGCGCCCGCTCAGCGCCCAGGATTAGGCAACAACTGTTTCAAACAGTAGAAACACAAAGAAGAACAAGACAACGAGTCCCTTTCTCTGAGGAAATCACAACATAGCTGGAAAAGGCTGGGTGCCGGACTGCAAGACACGGAGCCTGCACCAAACAGAACCAAGAAATAGAGGCGTTTCCTATTTCACAGAGAACAAATGATGCACGACCCACTCTCGCACACTGATTAGAAGGTGAAAAGCAGACACATACTCACATAAAAACAACACATTTTTAAAAAGTAGTTAATCAAAACCATGTTCACGTGGGTCTAACCGTCTCATATTATCAGAGCTATGTCAAGAGGTGGACGAAAATGATTCTATTTCTTATTCACCCAACTGTCGATAATGTGAGGGATGGTAGATTACCAGGGGGATTACCAGAATAATCCATACACGGTCAGAACAGCCAACTTCACTATACAAGCCCAATAAAATATAAAATACAAAACATAAATGTTCCTTCTGTACCCTTAAAACCTGTAATTTTATTAACCAATGTTGCCCCAATAAATTCAATTCAAAAACTCCTTTATTCCATACTGTTAATGGAAAGAAGATCATTGAAAATTTCATTCAAAGGTATAAGGAAAAAATACTTAATGAATGGATAAACTTGTATATGCCAGGTTACATGGATTGTTATAGTCTAATTTAAGTCGCAGGCATATAAAAGTCAATTCTGCAGTTGGTAAAACATAAAATCAGCAAGTACCACAGCTCATTTTGCTTCTGGCTTTTAATTAGAAGCAGTCTGAATTCTGTTTTGGAGGTGAGGTTACCTCTTTTTCCTTCTCTAAGAACTGTCATTCATCGTTATTTTACTAAGAAAGATAGAGCATTCACTCACACTCCTCCCATAGGTATGTGACTGAGTGAATATATTTTCCTAGTTACAACTAAAAATATTTAACAAGAATTTTAAATGTAACACCATTCAAATTATAAAATATTATTGTCATTCTCACAGTGAATGTAAGGATCCAGATATGAAAGACTATATTCTATTTTGAAAATTATATTTCAGACTACCTGTATAGCAGAAATTGAAATTTGGTATTCTCCAAATAAGAACAACAGAATGGTAACTGCTAATTCACAGCAGTGTCTGCACACTCGGTGAACAGAGAGCTGAACAAATCCCTTACTTCAGGTCCTGCAGCAGGTCCTTTGCATTCAGCATGGTTATTAAAGAGGTGGTAGCAGCAGGGATTATGATAATGGGTGTGCGAGAACCTGCAAAGACAACATTTTTAAAGGTAGTAAACATGTTATTACTATGAAAAGGAATTATAATTGCTTTCCCAATCAAAAGCTTGTAAATGTATAATTTTCATTCTTTTGACCTAAAAGTCACTTTAAGTCAGCAGCAATATTCAAAATATTTAACAATCAGCCGGCCGGTGTGGCTCAGTGGGTGGGCGTCAACCTATGAACCAGGAGGTCACGGTTAGACTCCTGGTCAGGGCACATGCCCGTGTTACGGGCTCAATCTCCAGTGTGGGGCATGCAGGAGGCAGCCGATCCATGATTCTCTCTCTCTCTCTCTCCCTCCCCCTTCCTCTCTGAAATCAATAAAAAAATAAAATAAAAAAATTAACAGTCAGTATGACCTATGCACCTACTAATCCAAATAGATACCAAACACACGCATTCAATACAAGTGCGCAGGCAGAATACCAGCCCAGCTCTGTTATCTCGCTTATTCACATTTACTTTGTAAAATACATTTAGAATCATTTGCAGAATCTTACCTTTCTTCTGATTAGGAGGAGGTCTTGCTTGAGAAACTGTTGAGAGAAAAATAAAAAGCAAACTTTTGAATGTTATGAAAATCACATTATTTTCAAGCTTAAAAAGCAAGTAAAGCCTAAGAATTCTTTGTGATTATAGATGACTAGCTCAGTCGCGCTGTTAACCAGCCTGCACTGCTGCTGCTTAAAGTCCGGGGGGCAGGATGAGGGCTGTTTCTGAAATTCCCTGTCCAGGGTCATCGGAGTAAATGCCGAAGCCACGCCCGGGGAGGCCGAGCAGCACTGCCCTCTCCACCTGCACATGCTCTGTGGGGACCAGAAATCCCAGCCACGGACTCACCCCGGAGGCACGCTGCTGAGAGGCAGTGGGGACAGCCAGCGGGGGCCGTGGGAGGCCCAAGGAATCATGTGGTCTGGCCCTGCCAAGGCTTAGAGGGGTGAGTTCATTAAATGTCTGACCAGATATCGCAGCTAGTGTTTAAGTGGATCATTCTGTGTGGCCAGCGAATGAGGTAATAAATATCCAATGGCCCTTGGCAGAGCAGCCGGTGTGAGGAATGAACGCCTCCTAAGAAGGTTCTGGCTTAAGAAACAGAGTTGATGGTGGTGCCCTTTATGCACGAAGCAGGAAGGGTGAAGTCAGCCATCGGGGGGAAATACCAGGGAACAAAGGTTTTCCATCAGTTTTAAGACGCCTGTGGCAAACCCAAATGTTAGCCAGTTAATGTAGGTGCCAGACCCAGGAAGGGATGTCTGAACCGGAGACACAAACTGGAAAATCACCAGAACATCAATTTAAAACTACGGGTGAGGTACGGCGACCCACATGTAGGTGATAAAGTGGATGCCTGGACTGCGAGAGGAATCTGTCTGACATACAGAGGGCTGTCAGTCTCTCAGGAGCAATGAGCAGGTAAACGGGCCATAGGCCGCCGACCCATCTCCGAGACCCTGGGAGTGAAGGCAGGAGGGACAGCTGGGGGCCTGAAGTAGGTGTGCACCAGAAAGAGGGCGAGGGACAGTGGTATGTGCGAGAGGTTCCCCTGGTGAAGAAGGAAGGGCTGCCTGGGTACAAGCTCAGCTGAGCAAGGCCTGTGCCTCTGAGTCCACTGGAACACGTGGGCCTCGCCAGGTTCAGTCCCTACCTTTGCTTAACACATTTTTTAAAAATGATTACAGAACCTTATGTGCTAAATAACACAGACATCTGAAGTTCTAAGCATCAAAGCTGTATACACCAATCTATTAAACTTATGGTTTTTCTTGGGGGGGGGGGGGGGATCATATCCACATGCACCATCACGGAACTCAAACAAGCAATTGGTGAGGGGTGCTACATATACTCTGCTTTTTAAAACATTTTTCTGAAACATTTAAAATCATTTTCTTAAAATTTTCTTTAACTCTTCAACTATCCTACTGTCAAGTAAATGTTCTGTAAGATCACTTTAGAAGTATTTGAAGTAAAGTTTCAGGTCCTTGAGAGCATGATCACTCTTGTGATCATTTGGGGGGGAAAGATCTTATCTTTACCTGGTCTTGGTACTGGCTGTGCCGCAGGAGTCTGAGTCTTACGGGCCGACGCACCCTCCTTTAAAACAATAAAAAATGATATATGACGTTAAAGTTTCTTTATAAATTTCACATCTATTTGTCTTCCAATCAGTCACTCTACCAAACATGCTCTGATCAATCCTATGAGTGTAAAAACAAAACACCTTTCCTTATTTTTTATACTATTGGTCATGATGTGGGAAATAGAAATCTTAGGTGGAAAATGAATTAAAAATTCTTACCATACAGAAGTTATTATGAGCATGCAATATTTCTCAAATATCCAATGATTTGTGTAATTGCTGACAATTTTAACATCTCAGAAATGTCATCATTTTTTAAATCAAGTCAATCTTTTTCCCCTTAAACAGTCTCAAAATGAGTAATACATAACCTCAGATTAGAAAGATGTAAACAACATAACTTTGCATTAAAAACCACAAATACTTGACATTAAATGCCTTTAAAATATTCAGGGAAAATAAATAATCCCATTTACAAAGATGAGATTTTTCTATTTAAGAGTGATTAAAATATCTTAAAAATGGAATAACAAATCTCGACTAATTACTAAGCTTGTGATATATACAAGAAAATGTGCTGAATGTTGAATTTTATCAACTATTTGCTCAGTAGATGACGCTGAAATACTTAAGACACTTTAAAAGTTATCTATCTTTAGTACATTCGTTTCAATAATTTTCATGCTAAATTTTTTTTCATTAAAACATTTTCCTTTAAATAAATTGTTGAGGGAAGGGGGAAAGAGACCAACCAAAGGACTTGTATGCATATATGCATGACCCATGGACACAGACAATGGGGTGGTGAGGACCTGGAGTGGGGGGTGGCACTACACAGGGTCAATGGGCGGGAAGAAGGGGACATAAGTAATACTTTCAACAATAAAGTTTTTTTTTTTAATTTATGATAGCAATATGTAATCAGCTACTAGCACCTGCACATGAACCAACGTGGATGTGTCAACTCCAAGTGCCCACCGACAGGTATGCTGTGCTGGCGAGTCAATGCGATGACCATCACCGCCTGAAATGGCCATGCTACTGGGAAGCCAGAGACTCCTACAAGCTTGCTAGCAAAGTAGGGGCCAAATTACTGCTGGTTTTAAATGCTGGCAACTCCCCTTGCTGGCAACTCCCCTTAGGATGAACTAAAACAGATAAACGGGTCTACCATTCATTAGTCCTGGAAGAGACACTGGAATTGAGTTCCGCTTTCAAGTCAAGAAACTTCATTTGCTGCACAAGGTGGGGCAAAGCGAAGGAGAAGGCCAGGCAGGCGGCACTGGCACCTTCATGCTGAGGTCGCTCCTTCGAGCTGGGCTAACTCCCGCTTTGGGAGCTCAGAGGAAAGTAAAACGGGTTCCTAATCACCTGCTGTCCTCAAAGGAAAACTCTAAATTCTGAGCAAACAATAACTCTCCTTCAAAAAGGAAACACTAGTTACTGAATTTAAATAACCAAAACACATGCCATTCATCCAAATATTTTAATTTAATAAAGATGTCATCTAATTTTAAGTCAGAACAATCCAGAGATATAAACCACAAGCAAAATTGTTGATGGATAGCAATGAAACCAGAATCTGGCCTCTAAAGAACCGTCAAATGGCACTTTCAGAGCCTAGGGGGAAGTCACATCTGATCCAGAACGGCAGGGTGTGTCCAGCACAGGGAAAGACAGCTGGCCCTTCGGTGAGCAGGAGCGGAAATAAATGCTGTGCATTTGCGGGGCCAACCACTCACACTGAAGCACAGAGAGGGATAGAGACCAACGCAGGGAGGACTGGACCCCCACTCCCTCCTCCCGGGACGCGAGGACATGCGACAGGTGCAAACCACCACCAGGACTGAGGTGCTCTCCCCGCACCCCGTTCTCCCTCGTTCTTCCTACCAAGGACATGTAGCTGAATTTATCTACATAGATAAGCAGGTAGGTTACTAGTAAGTCCATAAAATGACTTATCTCTACTATTAGATAACGAATACAGTTACACCTGACTCATCACATAATGATGACTCAAAAGCTGAATAACACCATTACTTCTGAACCAGGAGAAACTGAAGGTTAGGAGGTGTGAAATGCTAAAGGACCTCACCGTTAGCCCTCTCCCACTGCCACCCACATGCTCTCCCCCCATTTCCTTGGTCAAGTAAGGCTCCTCTCCTTGTCCTCTGGACATGCCTATGGTTCGTCACAGCTACCGTGTCCCAAATGCCACTCCGCTGCCATTCCTGAAGACGCCCATTTCTGCTGGTGAAATAACTCCTGCTTCATGTTGAAGGCTGTCAGGGGCCTGGCAAACCCAGCTTTAGATTCTGACTCCTGGGGGGCTATTCTAGACAAGCCCAGGGAAAACCCGAAAACCAGCGGGACAGCTCTGCTCTTCCGCGTTAGAAATGATGGCCTTTTCCCTTCGGGGTGTGTGACAGATGTGACAGCAGACCCATGCAAGTAGTGTTGCAGTGTACCCCGCAAATCACACAAGGACGCCTCAAGAAGTCGAATTAAGGAGCCACATTTATTTCAAAGCCGGGACTACGAGGGGGCAAATGCTCTCCAAATCTCGTAGTGCCTGAGTGAGAGTAGTAGCCATCTTATAAAGGTCAAAACCACATCCTGCTAGACCAGTGGTTCTCAACCTTCCTAATGCCGCAACCCTTTAATACATGTTGTGGTGACCCCCAATTTCATTGTTACAAATTGAACATAATTAAAGCATAGTGATTAATCACAAAAACAATATGTAACTATATATGTGTTTTCCGATGGTCTTAGGCGACCCCTGTGAAAGGGTCGTTCGACCCCCCAAAGAGGTCACGACCCACAGGTTGAGAACCACTGTGCTAGACACTGGAATGTGGAATTATCTTGGGAAAGCAGTTTTACAGAAGCAGAATTGAGCAAAGTTAACAATCTTTAAAGGTTATCTATAGTTTCAGTTGCTGGAGCCACTGAGTCCCTGGAAAGTATTCCCGGAGCCACTGGGTTAAGGAAAGTGATTTTGTGGTTCTGGTCCTCAGACACAGGAGAAGAGCCTTTGTGAGGTGGGCTGGCAGCATAATGGGGGGATCTGTGTGAGTTTCCAGGTCCCAATCTAATCTGGAAACTGAGGCAACGACCCTACTGTGTAAGCAAGCAGGCGTACAGAAGCCAGAACAGCAGGGTTAAAATTCAAACAGCAGTTTTTACCCGAGATGAATGATACTATGCTCAATGCTTCAGTAGAAATTACCAGACAGTTATGCAGAACTATAAAACTTCACAAAACAGCTGCCAGTTGCTGAGTCTGAGAAAAAACTTGTCACATTTCCTAAGAAAGTTTAAGCATCGAATTCAGATGTTAAAAGACACGAGACTAAAGGGAGAGTGTCTACAAGCCTGCCTGTCACCGGATTTCTACAGATTCCCGTGGCTGGGAACATGAAGGTGCTAGAAAGAGCCCCTGGGGGAGCTTTCATCTCTGCCTGCTCCGTCTTCTCCACCAGCGTCACTTCAACTTAGGACAGAACGCGGGTGTGGCCTGAAAGCGGAAAGTCAAGCCCGAAGATGTGCACAGGCCCGTGAGGAGTCTGCAGGAGTCTCTGCTGTACAAACCGGCCCCACTGCAGTGGGATCGACAAGCCTCTGGAAACTTCGGGGCTGCGGACAGTAGCGAAGGCTCCCTCCTCGCCAGCAGGTACCGCTGGAGCGCTCTTCATCAAGATCCAAAGTAAATCCAAGGGCCCATCAGAGAGTCCAACCAAAAGAACTGGCCCCAAACGGTGGATCTCTGTGCCCTAACGTGTAACAAGCTGCGCCCGCCTGCAGATGTTGGTGCGCAGTGGTTGGTCAATACCTATTTGTTGGACAAATGAATAAAGTAAAAATATAAACATCCACTCAGGCTTCTGTGAGTGATTTCTGGGTAGGCTGCCCCAGGGGCAGAAAAAGCGCCATTTCCCCGGCTGCGCCACGCACGCCACGCATGCCATGGCCGAGAACAGAGCGCAAGGACTGAGAGAACCTCGCTTTAATCCCTCGTCACAGCTTAGCTACTAGTGGGGACAATCATTTGACGACTCTAAGCATGGTTCCTCCCCTTCCGATGGGCACTGCAATGAAACTGATGAGCAAAAAGGCCGTTTAAGGAACATCTCAGGCAGCGTCCACGCTGACCGGGTTAATCTCAGCAGTGGCCACTGCTGCTGGCTACATAGTCAAAGCGTGTGCAAGGAGCTCCTGATAAATATGATCTACTAAATCCAACTTCTACTTCTGTAAGCGGAGTGATTTTAAGTAGGCGCTGAAGCATTACTCCAAATTAAACAAGCAAACGGAGCAGGGAGCATGTGTATGGGTGGACAGAGAACTAAATGCCCCAAAACGGGTTGAGCCTGGCCGGTGTGGCTCAGTTGGTTGGGCGTCCCTCCCATGTACCGAAAGGTTGGTTTCCTTGCCAGTCAGGACACATAACAGTCATAAGTTCCTAAAATGCACTAAAAATCTAATGGACAAAAATAAAAAATGTGAGAGGGCCTGGCACTAAATTTAAAAGTTAACACGAGCAGCTGGCTGGCTTGGGATACAAAACCAAATTTGTCCCTCAGGCTGCCTCCTGGGCCCCAACTCCACGGGCTCTGGCCTGGGCGAAGGCCGGCGGTGTGGACGGCGGGGGCACCCAGCAGCACGTTTCCCACTGGGGTTATGTTAGTAACATTGGTTAACCCAGGTTCAGAAGGAGCCCTTGTTACAAGTTGGGAAGATTTGAAACTGTGAAAATGAAATCTACACCCGGGCTGGTGTGGCTCAGTGGGTTAGAGCATCATCCTGTGCACGGAAGGGTCTTGGGTTCGATTCCCTATTGGGGTTTGAAAAGGAGGCAACTGATCAATGTTTCTCTCTCACATGGATGTCTCTCTCTCTCCCCCTCCCTCCAATCTAAAAAAAAAATCAATAAAAACATATCCTTGGGTGAGGATTTTAAAAAAGAAGAAAATGAAATGTAGTGAAAGCAGTCTTTTTCATGTCCCATTTT